GAACAGCTTGAAATAAATTTGCGAGAGAAAACTGTAAATGCTGAACAGAGCGTAAATTCTGGGCAAAATATGAGTACTAATATGGATACTGCTACGAATGCTCATTATAACGATGAAGTTTCCCGGAATATCTTAAAGAATAGGTAACAATTATTTCTTTGTTTCACTATTTTGTTCTTGTGATTGTTAAAATTTTTTATTTATTTGATGTTTTTATTTTATCTCTTTTTAATTTAATTTAAATTTATTTATTTTTTAGTAGTTCAAATAACCCTCTCAATGAAAAGAAACCATATAGGAATCATTTTTGGAAATTATTCTTTTGCTGCAATTGTGACTATTATGTCGAATAAACACACGACAAACTAAGTATGATTACTTATAGAAGTTGGAACAGTAGAGGCAACTATCCGGATATCCGAATAATATCTGGATATCCGAATCTTAATTTCGGTTTCCGGATAAGAGTTTTCGGATATTCTAATATGGCCAGGTAGTATCCGGATACAATCCGGATATTTATAAAAAGAAATATAAAATATATAGAATCAATTTGGCCAAATTAGTTATTTAATATAAATAAGTATTATTTTAAAAATCTAAGTATAAATTTTTTTTTTATTTTTGCATATGTATTTGGCAAAATCTGTTTTAATTATTAAATATTGGCAAATCTATTTAATTAAGATTATATGTATATTTTTACTTAAATATCAAACATTTAAAATAAATAGTATCAAGCGTTAAGAACAATATAAATACAATTATTATAATATATAAGTACAGTATAATTATATAACTAGCACAAAATGGTATATTAAAATTTATCGAAATAGCATCTGGATACTATCCGGATAGTATCCGAATCTAAATTTTAAAAAAGTTCGGATATCCGGATTTATAAAAAATATCAACGGATGATTATAAATGCATTACACCTCGTTTTTGCATTACCTGGTATTCAAATTGTTTGCAAACAATCTGATTTATTTATTTATTTTTCATTAAATTGTTAGATCATTTTTGAACACAAGCACAACATCTAGGAACACGCGTAACGTGGAACCAACCCATAATAATACACTAGTTTAAGGTTAGGGAGATAAACATAGGAGGCAATTTTATGGTCAAAATCTTGAGTTACGGTCGGTGGGTTTTGTAAAAGACCATGTTTCGTTTCAATTTCATGTTACACTTGATCTTGCATTAAAATTGGTGACCAAGGGTAGCTACGGCAATAAATGTAAAACTCTTTAATTGTTAGCACAAACACATACGATATTGGGAGCCCCGGTATTGGTACCACAGTTATCACGGTCACACGTGACACGTGATCGATTGTCGCATTTAGGTCCCGAGTAATTGGTCACATGAAAAGTAAGAGAAATCTTACTTTTCTAGATCGACGGCATATAGAACATTTGGTTTTTCTTGAGGATAGTAGGGAAATGGGGTTTAATAATGATATCGTGTAAATAGATAATGTAGGGTAAATTAACCTCGAATGTAAATAAAACTTTTATTATAAATAAAGGGCTTTCCGCCCAGGGGGGAAAATACAGAAGATGCTCCAAGTCAATACATTTGTAATACATAAAACTAAGTATCTGATCCTTAATAAAAATAAATCTGTAACCCAATCCAAACTAATAAACTATTCTTAAACCCATCATTTTCTCTATTGTTCATCCAATTGCAATCCACTAAACCATCTTTTTATTGTTTGTTGTAAGTCATGTAATCAAGTCATTGATGCAAAAGAAGAACTTCAACTCCAATTTGATGTATTATAACCTTAGATTAAGAAAATATAAAGAAGATTAGAGGAATCAAGAGTTAATAAAAGAATAGGTTAAAGAAAAGAGTTAAATAAGAAAATTAGTATTTACTACAGATAAACCAACCAGTTAATTCTTATATGTTTATTTTAACTTAGTTACTATAAGTTATATAAGATTGGAAGTAATTGGTGACAGACTTATTGATTTACTGAATTACAATATAAATAGTAAACTTTCAATTATGATATAATATAAAATAAGAATATAGTCTATGGATCAATAGTATAATGGTTAACACTTTTGAGTCTTAATTGCAAGATTATAAGTTTGAGTTCAGAAGGTGACAAAAACACTGTCAGATTATAATTGAAAAAGATCCATAAAAAATTTCTATTTAAAAAGACAAAAACAATATTTATGCAAAAAAGAATGCAATGATCAGCATAATTACAGAGTTAGAAATAACCAAATAAGACATAATTTGTTAACAAATAACATTAATATTAAGAGAGTTCAATTTAAAAATACATATAATTAAAAATATCAAAATTTATAAATGATCTGATTGGTAAGTCATATGAAGTTAGAGAACTGCAGACTAAAGAATCTTATTCTTTTACAAGTTATATAATCTAACAATTTCTACTTTAATTTTATTTAGTTTAAAATATATGCAATCAAGGTTTCTTTTAAAAAATATTAACATTTTGTAGGATTATTATTTGATTAAATACTTGATTTATGTAGTTTTCTATATTTTATACAATTTGTTCTTTTAGTTGAAGTTATATTAAATTATAAATATTTTCATAATTTTAATTTTTTTATCATATCTTTTATAACCTATTACAATTTACTAATTTTTATTCTATATTATAAAAAATTATAAATATATTTTAAGAATATTAAAAGTATAAAAAATATCAAATTTACTAACAAAAAAACAAAATATTTTAAGTAAAATTAATATATTTAAACTAAAAATGAAAATTTGAAAAGTGAAAACCAAGACTTAAGAAACTAACTAATCAATAAAAAGCTAATTATAAAAAATATTAATACAAATAATTAATAGCTAACAGACAACTATAATCAGCTATTAGAAACTAATAAACAATATGAATTAATAAAAGTTACTCAGAAGTTTTAAATTAAAAAAAAAGATTTATTAATAAAAGAATTTTAAATAATATAATTAAAAAACTTAATATAACTGAAAATAAATTATTAATTGTAACATCTTCAAAACAAAGAAAATCTAATTTTTAAAACAAAATTAATATTATACAAGATAATAATAAAAAATTGAGGCTTTATTAATAATAAATAGCAATCTTCTTAAAAAATTAAATTATTATAAGCATAGTAATTTTAAAAATTTTTATATTCTGCAAACAATTATTTTTTAAGTTTGTTTTAGGATTTTTAAATGATTTTACTTTTGCTTATATATTACAAAATCTTTAGAATATTAGAAATTTGTTTTATATTCAAGTGCTTTTTAATATTATAAACTATTTTCTTATATTTTAAACAAAATATTGTCTTGTAATCATTTTGTTACATATTATTTTATTACTACAAAATCTTTTTATAACATAGAAATTGGTTTTATTATTTTTATTTTTAATATTTTAATTATTGAATATATAAATTACTATGTAGATATTGTATTTATTTTATTAGTATTTAATAAAAATTAATATATATTTTTTATTTAATTATTTAATATATTAAATATATAGCTACTCTATTTTTATAATAAAAATTTATATAGTATAAATAATATATATTTAGCTACTCTAATATTATAACAGTATTTTATATTACAAATAAAAATATAAATAGTATTGTAGTTTAAACTAGTATCTTATATTATAATTAGTAAAAATATATTAAACTTTATTTTATAATAAAAATTTATATTATGTTATTAAAAATTAAAGTTGCACTAATAGATTTAGCAAAGCAGAAATTTGTTTGTTATCAAATGAACTAATAAAAAACTTTTAAATTAGAAATAAAAGTTTTATCTATTTTTTTTTATAATTCATTTATTTTATAACTTTTATATATTCAAAATTGTTTTTCAAACTTATTTTTTATAAAAATTTTCTATATTCAACAAAATTAAACAAATAAAATATATTTTTTTTGTTTATTTCTTGTTGCAATTATTTTTTTTTTATTTTTTATTTTTGCTTTCACTAAAGTCTTTGGTTATCAGCAACTACTATCTTTATTGTAAATTCAATTATGATTACATAACTTGTACAAGGTTACCTTTATATTACACTAGCAGATAGTGCTCAAGCTTCTGTACATTTAATTAGATGCCATCTAGCCCAACTCTGACCTCTCTGTCTGTATATCCATCAAGCTGTTA